GTTCTTATAATCAGAAGGTTTAATAACATCAAAAATAACATCCATTTTTTCAAATTATCCATAAGAAACTAGAAATATACTTTATTAAAAGTATTCCCCACAAGCAAACTTGCTAATATTAACTAAATTTGAAAGATATACAGGGAATTCCTTTATGACTACTTATTTTTTTTGATTATCTGTAAAAGCTCTTAAATAAAAATTTTCGGCACAAAAACAGTCAAATATCTAACACTTTACCTTTAAAACATCTTTTCTCAACCGTTTTCAATGTTTTCTTATTTTTTTAAATTTTAAGGTAAAGCTGATAATTTTTAAAATTAGCAAAATTGTAAAATATGAGCAAAATGCACTTTTTACTGGTAGTTTAATTGACTTTTCTATGCTTTTCTTGTAGATACAATGAACACTTTATGAAGAGATGCTTATATGAACTACCATTTTAGGTAGAATGAACAAGCCGTAATAAATTCAAAAGTAGCACAGAGCAGAACCAAAGAAATAGTGAGTAGCGGACAGTATACCTACAGCATTTTACTGGTGAAGACACTTTAACTACAACATTTTGCAGCTGAGGACACTTTAACTACGATTCAAGGTTATTTCAGACGATTTTTATTCTTAATTTTAATAAAAGCTAGGAGAATAGTAATTTGAAAAAAATCTTAAAGAGAAACAAAAGATAATGTAAAAAAAAGATTATTTATAACGTTTTCTAAATAAAGAAAAGGGAAATTTTAAAGAATAAATAGAAAATACAAAAAAAAAAATGAAAAAGAGGGAATTTAAAAACGATAATGAATAATTCATCATACGATCTTTATTATTACTTTTATTAACAATTATGGTATCTGTGACTGATATTATTTCATTAAATAGCATATCTGGATACTTTTCTACAGGATTTATATTTAATAAATCTATAAAATCGTTATTACTTTGAATTAATTTCAGTACATTTTTAATTGCTAATAAGTCAAAAAGTGAATGATTAAAGCCTAACGTGTATATTTCAAATAACTTTATATCTACACTTTCTTTAATTAGTTTCAATCGTTTTTGAGCAATGTATAATAAAAATCTATAAAATTCTAAAAAGTCAATGCCAAAATACGATTTTAGCATTACCTGACAATGTTTCGAATAATTACTCATTTCAGAACAATCTTTGGTTTCATTTTTAACATCTGTTAAGCTTTTTTCTAATGATTTCCACATTTTTTCTATGTTACAGCCATTAATCCAGTTGTGATTCACTGACACTGTGTCTTCTATATTCCAAACCTGATGGTACCACCCAGAAGGGACGAAAACGACATCTCCACTACTTTGAATAATTTCATAGTAAGCAATTTCATCTTTTAAGTCTGATACATCATATGGCAAATTCCCTAGAGAATCTTTTAATTTTTCCTCATTTCCTGGAGGAAATAGAAACCACTTCTTTTTTCCACTTACATTTGCAGACCAGCTGAATGAATTAAAAACATCAGCATGAAAAGGGGTCCTAAAAAAATTAAGAAAAATCGTAAGGGACTGCATATATTTTTGGCTCAAAACAAAATTAACTTACCATGATCCTCTAGGCCCCATATAAACGAAACGATAATCATCATCAGATGTTTCAATTAAATACTCGTTTAACCAGTCAGAGGCAAAATAATATGGGACATCATAAAAATTGTTGTTGGGAAATAAATTCTTCAAATGCCAGTCTTTAAGATAATACAAAGGCATTTGATTATTATAATTTCCATTAATATATTTTTGCCAGTACTCGAGAAAGTTGTCAAACTTGTCATTCTTGGTTTTTTGGGAGTTAAAATACTTTTCATGACAATCATACAACAGTATATTACTATGACCAAATTGTTTGCTTAAGTAAGTGGTATTTACTTTCCCATTTGTAAACCATTGCTTGGTACAATTCCAATTAGAAGTAATGTTTTTAATAAGACAAGCCTGATTTTGTAAAATAAATTTAACAAAAAAATCATCATAGGTTATGTCATGAGAGACTATTGGAGCTCTTTTTGAAACTTTATTGCCACTTTCATCACGTATGGGGAGACAGTTTTCAAGTTCAATTTGCATATCTACAAAAATATATTAATAAATTAAGTTTTATTAATGTGCTAGATTTATAAATTATCATATTTGTCATACCGGAATTATTAATAAACTATCTTGTCACACAGGTGCAAAAAAACCCCGGAAAAAAATGTTAATATTCTACCATTTTATTGTGCTGTTCTTATTGTGTTAATTAAAATAAACGTTGGTTAAATTCATTTAATTTTATCACTTTGCAGCGGACATTTCAACTGTGTATGTTTATTGTAAAAGTGAGGTTAGTTTACTACTACTTCTGTATTATTCAAATTAATTTGACGTGTGTTATCTTTCAACAACGAATAAGTGTATTTATCTTATTAATTGGTTAATTTGCGACCAAGAAAGCTCCAAATTAAAACAAAAATGCGTGCAATAATTAGTTTTTATATTATTGGTTTGTCAGCAAACGTTTTTTCAAATGTTATTGAAAGTGGCGTTAATAATTCGAATAGTATAGTGCACCAAGGAAGATTTAAAAGGGGCTCAAAGAATACAATTTTTGACGATGGCAATTGTTCCATATTGAAAGAAATGTGTAAAAATGTTGCAGATGACGACATTCTTATATTAGAGTGTGTACAAAATTTAAAAATTAATCATCTTGTGAAATTAAATGAAAAATGTCAAAACATTATTTGGAGCCACACATTACAAGTATTAAACAATAGTTATATTAACGATATATTAACATCGGTATGTCGGGGCCAATGGTCTAACTGTGACAATAATGACAAGAAACCCTTATCAGTTCTAAAATGTGCAATAAAAAAAAAAGAAGATATAACATCTCCTGAATGTGTAAATACTATTGAACGATTTGAAAACTTGGCATTCAGTGATTTCAGATGGATATCGTCATTCTTGGAACATTGCGTTAACGACATATCTGCTCTAGAATGTGGCAGAGTTGATCCAAGCGGTTTTTCCCAAGCTGACACTCTAATATGTTTACAAAATAAAATATCAAGTGTTAGTTCAGTTTGCCAAGCTGAAGTTTACAAACTGGCTGAAATTCAGTCTGATAACATTAAATTTGACCGAACATTATATGTAGCCTGTGCAGAAGACCACATGAAATATTGTTCAGAATTTGTACCTGGCAGTGGCAGAGTTTTCAAATGTTTAATCCAACACCAACATGACAAATTATCCGATATGTGTAGAAATCAATTGTTAAGAAGAGAAAAATTAATTTCAGAGGATTATCGCGTTAGTAAAGGTCTAATGAAGGCTTGCAAGGAAGATATTCGCAAGAGTCACTGTAGAAAACAAGATCAGGATAAACATACACGATTAGCACAAGTTCTTTTGTGCCTTGAAAATTATGCTCACAATGGGACAAGAATAGATCCTGATTGTGAAATTGAAATGGCTAATCACAGACGTATGTTAATGGATGACTACAGACTGTCTCCTGAAATTGTTACCAGTTGTTCAGATGAAATACACAAGTTTTGTTCAGGACTGGAAACAGGTGGAAGGACCATACATTGCTTGATGGATCATGCAAGATTGAGAAACATAAGAAGAAAAATCAGTGATACATGTGAAAGAGCCGTAAGTCTTTTATTTGCCTATTAATAATAAATAATGTGTTTAAAAAAAATTATACAGTTAGAAGATTTAGTCAAAGAAACAGATGCTGGCGAAGATTGGCGTGTGGATCCCGTTCTTCATGAAGCATGCATACCTGTCGTTCGAATTGCTTGCAAGGACATTCGTGGAGGAAACGCCAGAGTTATGTCCTGCTTAATGGACACCTTAGGAACCGATCAAATGACTGAAGAATGTGAAAATGCGTTAATGCAGATTCAATATTTTGTCGCAAGAGATTTCAAATTGGACCCCCAACTTTATACAGCTTGCAGAGAAGACGCCGCAGCGTTTTGTCATGCGAAAAAAGAATGGGAAAAAACTTATAGTTATGATCCCTCAAATGGGCGAATTATTCTGCCATGTCTATATAGGTATGTTATTATTAAGAAATAGTTCCGGTTTGTTTTCTTTTCAACTAAAAATAATCGTTATACATTTTTTAAATATAGATATGCTTACTCTCCCCAAAAGGACATGCAACTTAAACCCAAATGTTTAGAGCAGATACGAAGGGTTATGCGTCAGAGAGCAGTTAGCGTCGATTTGCAGCCAGAAATCGAAGAAGTTTGTCTAGAAGACTTATCTCTCTATTGTTTTGATAAGACCAAAAAAGGTGAAGAGATAAAATGTCTCCAAGACAACCTGGACGATCTACAGCAAGCATGCAGGATTTCAGTGTTTAATTTCACGAAAATTGAAGCTGAACATGCAGAAGTTAATCCTTATATAATGACCTACTGTAGAAAAGCCATAGAAATTCACTGTGCTGCCGAGTTCAAGCACGATGAAGGAGACGTTATGGAATGTTTATTTGCTCACAAAAACGACCCCGTCGTAAAATCAAATCCCAAATGTCGCGTTAATATTGAACATTTTCAAATATTAACTCTGAAAGATTATCATTTTTCATATAAATTTAAAGTTGCTTGTAAAAGCGACGCAATGAGGTTTTGTCGCGACGCCAAGACCAAAAGTGCCGTTGTCGTTTGCTTGAGTGAAAAATATAGGAATGATACTCTGAACGGTATCAAAAGCAATATTAAAAAAGAATGTCGACAGCAACTAAAAGCCCAACTCTTCCAGATAAGGGAAAATATTAACTTCGATCCACATTTGAAGGCTGCATGTGAAAAAGACATTTCTCGTTATTGTTCAAATGTCGATGCAGGATCAGGGCAGGTCAGTGTATCTTTTTGTTGTCTTTGGAACAGTTGACTTGCCCTAAAATTATATACCATGTAAAATTGTATTATGTTTTATTTCACATTCTAGATATTGGAATGCTTGCAAGCAGTAGAAGAAAAACTCACCGATACATGTCACAAAGAAGTGTTCAAAGTGAAAATGCAAGAACTAACTGATAACGCTGTCGATTACGTCCTCTTAACAACGTGTGCTGATACAATCGATCGCTTTTGTCCACGAACTGATAAGGAATTTGTTCTAGAATGTTTAAAAGTAATTCTTATGATTTTTCGTTTTTTTTTTTTGACACATAAACTACCTTAAATTTTTTTTTTAATTAAAATTTATCTACTTCTTACCATATATCACTTTATTTTGAAGTAAATCATATTTTTTAGAGACACAAAGACGAATTAGAATTCGGAAAGAAATGCTATACCATAGTCACCCGTCGTACTAAAGAACAATTTTCGGATTTTCGTCTGAATCCATCTTTACAAGAAAATTGCCATCAAGATATGAACACACACTGTTTTGATGTGTTATCACTGGCTAAGCCGGATCAAGAATTAAATGGAGCAATGATTAAGTGTCTCAAAGTGGCCTTCAGACAATCCCGTCTGACCGATCTGTGCGCGAAAGAAGTGACCAATATTTTACGAGAACAAGCCCTCAACATCGAACTAAACCCTTTGCTCCGGGTCCTTTGCAAACACGAGCTATCTACCATATGCAAAAATCACGAATCTGCCGAAGAATGCCTCAAAAATGCTCTCCTACAACATAAGGTTCCCACCTTGGAATGTCAAAATGAAGTTGCTAATCTGATTGAAGTGTCTCAAGCTGATATC